CATATTTGAAAGGGCTATATCTGTTTGCAATATGTTTCGAATACTGAAACAACATACGACAAATAGCGCCCTCAGTGCATATTTTGGCCGCTATTCAAAGATTGTCTGACATTTTTTTTAATTTGATTTGCCTTTCGAAATACCACGGAGCAAGATCGCTTGTAGCTGATTGCTGGATGCGATAACAGGAACAGGGCACCTAGAATGGTAACAGAATGCTAAGAATATTAGTATATTACCTGTACTCTACGATCAATTGTCATCACAGCCGATGACTGTACGCTGATTGGCTTAAATATATAGTGGGTGTTGTCTGAGATCGCTTTATTTATCATTTACTGTTTAACTTTATAACTTTTAAAGATTCTACTTTAATACCACATTTAGTGAAAATACATTTCAATTGTTGATGGATTGGTTCTGTTAGTTTATGTTAGTTAATTTCGTTGTTATATAAAAACTGCAACATGGGTGAGAACATGTCATTTTTAATACTACTGTTTGATATCATGTTGATGAATATATTTGGTTCTGATTTAACTAAAAATGTTGTTCTTGCAGCAATACGCATTTTGGGGTTCGTTCTATGCAATTATGGAATTATCTAATACACCGTCATCAGGGCCATAATTACACTTTTACATATTAAAATATAAACATTTAAATTCAAAATATGAGTGTTTAAAATTAAAATATAAGGAACTGATGTTAAAATATGAATATTTAAATCTAAAATATTAGTATGATAAATGAATGTTAAATATTTATCAACATTCAGTTTGAACATAGATTTGAACATAGCGCTTAGGGACATGAGCCATGAAGTAATCGTGTGGTGGCTGATTGTACGTTGCGCAATATGCCACTGAAGGGGCAGTAAATTGGCTCATTGCATATTCGTCCCACAGTTTATTACTGACCCCGCATCGAAAGACTCGGCGTTGACACAATGGAGCATGGGCGACGTTTCTTCATATTGGATACTTGTGACTGAAATTACTGTACCGTAACCCTGTATGCCAGGGTAAGATAATTACCCATCTCGGGCTAGTGAAAATAAAAACGTACATGCCCGGTGGTGTAGTAACATTTTGTTCAAGGTATGCTTTATAAGGGAACTATGTACTAGTGTTGCAGTAAGAATTGCTGATGTTTTAGATTCTCACTCACATTTACCCGAGAAATAGATGGGCCCGGATGTCCGCAACTATTATAAGTCAATATCCTTATATTTCCCGGGAATACAATTTATAGCAAATGAATAAATTCTGGACAATTTCATTTATGAGTGCATCGAAATTTCTGCGGGAAACATGTGGCCTTTAAAGTGGCCTTAATGATATTAGAACACAATACCAGATTATTTCTGATGTGTGAGCAATTAGTATCACAAAGTATCAAGTTAAATGGCGGCTACCTATTTTTTTTATCGAGTATATCTTATGGAACAACAATTTGAATTTGAACGCAAATGTTCCGAGTAGGGGGGGGGGGTGTTATATGTCACTGTCTGAAATCACATGGTTTAGTACCCACGATTTGAATACATGTATTACAATAAAAATTCGGCGGAAATGACATGCATTTTAATTTTTATTGGGTGCATTTTTGCATTATTTGTCTTGGTGAAATCTCGCGTGAGTTCTACGAAAGATAATACGGATTACATTGGCTTGTCAAGTCATGACAGAGGTCATAGTGCGAGTCCACAAAGTGTGGGAAGGTAGGACACTACATTATATTCGTTAAAAAAATAATTTGTTAAATAAGTTCTCCAAATGGTGGAACTACACTGGTGATCCCCATCCGGAAGCTATCAACTGTATTTGTCTTGGGCGCCTAATTGACTGAATTGCCACGTTTATCCATGGAAATTATCTGGCCCAAGCACCTCCTCATCAAATATCGCTTGAATCCCCAAATAGAGATTCGGAACTGGGAGAATGATCAAACCACGCTTGTCGACAGATAATTTTACTGGATCCGTTATTTCACTGGCGAGTAATTACTATCTTCCTTTTCTTGGAATATATGACAATTTAAATTAAAAATAAAGGCAGTTAGATTTATAATATATAAAAAAAACGGATGTTAAAATATGAGCATTTAAGTTCAAAATATGAGCATTTAAAATATGAGAAATTATATTTAAAATGCGAAGCTTGGATGTTAAACGGTTATGTTATGCGAATTTGATGGCGCTCTCCTGTGCATAACAGAATAAGAGAAAAAAAGCACGCCTAAATCTTAGAGAAAAAAAGTATTCCACATAGTGTATAAAAACAACTGTAGTAAATTCATCATGGAAATAAAAAAGTGAAGAAAGGAACAATTCGCACAGTGTTTCTGACATCGCCTCTCCAAGTGTTTCTAATAATTCGCCTCCTATTAAATGAACATGACGCCCATGGCTATGATGGTTACATGGCGCCCAATTCTTCGCCAGTACTGTATACAGTTTCTGCCCATGAGGACAAGGAATGAACTAAAGTTGTGAATGAAATAATAATAATATATTCGTTATAGTCACCAATATCAATCATGAAACTGGTATCAAATTTAGACAGTCAATTTTAAAGTGGTAAGTCGTATATTTGAACGTAATATTCTTTATAACCGTACTCGGATGTCCAGTAGGTCAGATATGGTACACGTACTTCAAATATATAACTAGTGGTTTATTCGAACTATGTGAACATAACATAGAAGAGCCCTGAGTCAAGTATATCGAGTGCTTATATAACCTCGTGGGGATTCTGAACTTGAGCGGTACAATACTGTGATTGGTCAATATTCAATATGTGGTGTTGCCTCTCACGTTCGCGTTCAAGGTCTTATCCCGTTTTGCTACATTCAAGCTCAGGCGATATAAACAATACAATAATAGTTATATTAATAATAATAATAACAATAAACTATTCCATATATATTTTCGACAAGCCCCGAGTGAGTCTGATAGATGCGATATCATTTTATTTAAAACAAATGAAGTCACTTCACCCAACGCGATAAAAAATCACAAGCAATATGACATCAGTGTTTGACATTTCACCATGAGTCCTGCCAGAAAGTTAATTACGCATCACTTTAAATGCACCTTATTCCGAGTACACCAAATCACTCTATTTAATAGAATATTGTCATTTTTTCTAGATCTGAATGAAAATGTTAGTTGTATTTTAGTGGGTAGAGGACATTTTGTCAGTAATGTGTGTATTATACTGATTTACCATAGGCAGCTATGGCAGGAATAGTATGTCATTACATCTCTAATTGTAGGCTGGTGACATAAGCTGAAAGAAAATCATATATTGTGAGTGACAGGGTAATTTTTGTTATCCTGAATTATTTCAAGTTTAAAAAAATTTAACATTGCGTTCTTAGACTATCATGATGGAATTGTTCTAAAAATATCGATTTTTGAAAAACAATTATGACAAGTTTCTCAATATACGTCACTGTAACACACAAACGAACAATTTTTAGGAACCATAGAAAAACCTTTATGATTGTATATAATAAACCAATAAAAAATGTCTTGCGATTCATGACCAACTTCTGAAAAAAGCTTCCACTAGTACCTTAAATTGGACCGTTGTAAGTTTCCGTTGGTTACAGAGGTTGAGAGATATGAAAAAATAGGATTTATTTTCATTTTCTAGAATGACAATTATCTGCACAAACTGAGCCATTATAACTGAAGAATAATTGGGAGATTACAACTAGCCGATGAACGAGGATGGACAATATGGCCGATGGTGATGACGTACTCAAACACATGTCACGTGACGCGACAACTCATCATGTATCCAGCTGTCCGTTTTATTATTTACACAAAAAATGCGATTTATCTTACACAATAACTTTTTATTTATTTCTAAATAATTGGGAATAACTTTTTTTAACAAGTCGACAAATTATTTACAGATTAAATGGTTACATTCTATAATCTAAACTTTGTTACTTCATTTGACTAAAAACAAAGTGAGCGTCCGATATTTGAAATTCACGGTAACTTTCAAAGTAGTCACGTTCACAGGCACAGCCACAAACCGCAATAAAGTAATAATATCAAAGACGCATGTTCATACTGCTGTGTGGACCGTGTCACATTGTTCATTCAGTGTATGAAGTACATCCCTATCTATGATGTACATTTCATTTGCGGTGATTGTTATCGAATACAATAATCACACAACTGTGGATCGTTCGTACTTTCATAAAATAATTACACACGCCAGATAGATATGTTATTCTCTGTCGGGCAGAGTGGTCCCAGGGCAACTGCTACTGTTGGAATAGATGAAGTATCAACCAATCACCAACACACCCATTGTCATATTTTTCACTATTATGACAGGACTGTCAAGTGTACGTAGTGGCCATACCTACTCACATACCAGATATCAAGCTACAAATAAATCCAACATGTCACCTTGTATATTCATATCGTCATATTAAATAGTGGTTTTGCATTTTTGTTGTTGCAAATGTCGAATGAGAACACCTCAAGGTTAAAATCTTGTCACTTCATCATGACCTCAAACAGTTGAGTTAAGGGAATACGTAACAACACCCGTAATTCATATGGATTAAATTACCGTGATTAAATCTAAATAAAACCCAGTGATATAAAAATGTTGACATTGTGCTGTACATTATTATCGTAGTCGTATACACAGTCACATATTTGAAAGACTATTTAGTTATTATAACACGACTAGTCACGTGTGAGGATAAACAAAATGGCGGATTTGATGATGTACTCTGACACGTATATCACGTGACACCGATTTGCCTATATATACACAAATTTAAAATAAAATCACTCCAACTTGCCGGGAGCTCGCAACCCCCGTAGCAATATATTGTTCTCATTCTGTTGTCGATATTGTAACACATAATATCCAGATTATGTGCCATGATTGGTCAATACGTCTGAAATGAGATTATTGAATATTCAAATATACAGTCCATCCATAAGTCTGTGGATGTTAATTCTAGCTTGATTTGAACATATCGCACAATAGTCTCTCGATTGGGATGCTGCCGATGGTTCTTCGGAAGAAAATTTCTTCGATGGCTCTGGCGCTGACGGCTTTCAATGCCGGTAAAAGTAGGAGTAATCTACCGAATCTGACGCGTTGCGATGGAAACCGGGCGTGTGTATATTCGCCGAGCATCAACTGTGCCTGATCCTGGAGCGTTTCCACTTGTACCATTTCACGCAGACCTCTCGTTTCTAAAACAAACAAAAATACCAAACAAGCGATTAGTCGAGAGAGGTGGCATTTGAATCAGAAAATGTAACAAGAACATTCGTCTGTCATACTTTTTGAGTCCCGTCACTTGCTGGCGGACTAGTAGTTTACGTCCGAGTCTGTGACTGCCGGTGAGGACACAGTAACTCACATCGTATACTCAGTATATGTGCAATTTATCGTTTTTTCAAAAGTTACGTAATTTACGTCGAGAATTATCTCCAAAATAGAAATTTGACCTATGTTTTAGGAACTTTTTTCGCAGAAAGAGACCTATAGGTTAGTGAATATTTTCCACAAAAAAAGGACTGTTTACAGATTTCTCTCGGAAAGGGTACCCGTTTGGGGAATTACATGTCATACAACTCCTCCGGGGGGACCAAGATTTATTGACATTGGAAACCGCAAATAGTACCATGAAAATAAAAGCACGCCTACCTGGTTTGAAAAGAACAACAGCCTTTAGACAAGCGTATTCCGTGGCATCGACCTGCATTGCGTTGAAACGTGACATCGTGTCCTGAAGTGTACGGATGTCAGCCATCAAACATGGCATCTTGTCTCCGTTATTCGGGTGAGCTGATATCGCTGACAGCAATGACCCTTGGAAACAGACAAGATAAGTTGGTTAGTGAAGGTATTATGCTAATACGTGATATCAGAATGCACGAGACAAGCACAAATCGATGCAACGAGGAAATATCTTGAGTGTAATCAAGTCGTATACAATGATGTAACTAACCAATTATGGACTTTGGTTTGACGAGTCACGTAATATTATTTTATCGCGAAGAGAGGACAACGTTTTTTTTAAACCACTGCAATGATCAGAACGAAAATGTGGAAGTGATCTTCAAACATAATGCGTTGTTAGAAATCCAAATTGAAAGGTGCGCTTGCGTAGTTGAGAGATCGCGTTTGTTCTCAACTACACGACTGAAATTGTCCCCCATTTTTGTCATTGTCGCACTGCATGCTAGGAATTAAAGCGCCATATTATTTTACACACGTTATATACGAAAATAAAATACATAGTTTATAATAAAATAAAATCTGAATATCGATTAGCATTATTATTTATTAGTTTGTTTGCTTTTAATTATATTAATGAATTCTTACCTAATTCAAGTGGTATCGCCCATTGAGCAGCACTAAGAAGAAATAACTCGTTCCACCCCTCCTCTAATAGAATCGCCTGGTCTCGGAATGGCAGTGTTAGGAATGATGGGATATTTCTAGCCCACTTAACTGTCATGAAAAGAAGCCTAGCTGCTGTTTCGTGGACACTCTCCAGGGCAGTGTGGTAGACCGGCGACTCGCTCACCAAGTGGCTAGGGTGCCCCTCATTTTCTGTAATTAAAACATATATATGTATTGTACATATAGACCGGGAACTATGAACGAACCGAGAATTATTAAAAAATGTCCGCCCAGCTTGCTGGAAAAAGAGTACAAGCAGATTTAGACACACTCACCCAAGAAAAGGGTGCATCACTCAATGTACAGGACATATTTCTAATATGTGGCACCCTCCTGCGACGAAATGTGTCTGCGACATCAAAGTGGTGTACAGATGGGCGTAAGCAGCGTGTCATTAAAATATACCTGTACAACTTTGTTTTGGTCATAGAGTCGTTCGTCATATTCTGGCAAGTGTCTCAAAAACATTAATTTCATGGACGGACGACCACATCTAAACACAAATATCGAAGCTGCGAGCATTTACGCAACAGGCGCGCTATGTCGCTAGAGGGCGCTGCTTATAAGAAATGCATATTTCATAATTAATAGACAGACTACACATCCAGGCTTCGCGTAACCATGCCTCTTTCAGACTCAATCTTCCTAAAGTTATGTGGGCGTGTCAATATGCTTTGACTTTTAATTTAGCTTGTGCAAATAGCCATATATCGTTTTTTTTTTAGATTTTCACAATACACATCTGGCGGTGCCGACGAAACTCACTCGATGGCGGCATCTTGAATTACACAGAAATTACCATTGATTCTTCGGACGAATACAATTACATCATTCGTATATTAATCGATATTGCAAATAATCGCATGAACACCATGAGTGGATAAGTGGTTGCATCGAAGGTGCACAGTCAGCTGACTGACTAGCGATTATGTTTTGAAATATATATCATCACGACCCTCTCCCTCTACGCATGCGTGGTTATGCTCGTTATCATTAGGAATCTGGGGGTGATACGTCAGACTTCACCTATGTAAAAAAACTTACCATGTTCTAGTTTATGTCTGTTTTCCTTGATTTGCACATGATGTTCGTGGTGTACTAAATCTCTGGTGCCGTGCCGTGGTTCGGCGTCTAACAAACTACTGAGAAATGGGTTCGAAAAGAACACCACCCCACCCCGATTGAATTCTGTAGGGTGCACCGGTCGGAAGCTCGACTTGTCCTCGTCATGGTGGAAGCCGTTGATTCCCGACACCGCCACGACGACTTCCGGAGAGCCTTCTCTTTTCATGCCGAGTGGGCTTTCTCGTTTGTACTGGTAGCATCGTGGAGCTCTCTCGTGTTGTACTGCTGTGAATCAAAAATACGAAAATGATCAAAAGGCCCGATTATATGAGATAGTAAAAAAAAATGTTTTATTAATTATGAAGTGTTTTATCTACCATTGTACACATATTTTGAAATATCAAAATATCATTTTGTAATGTTAGGTCAATGGCAAGGGTCAATGACAATACCATTAAAGGCGATGCGTGATAAAAAAAACACACTTGATAACGAAGTCTTTATTTTTAGCAATATAATACTTAACAAGGAAAGAAATATTTTAATTTTTATTTTTGCGGACTAAATGATTCAATTTCAATGTTAATCTGGAATTTTGATTGTATTCAATTCTTTTATGTACATAAATATCTTTATTTGAAGATAATCAAAATTAAGCATGGTGTCTAGACATGGGCTATGATCGAACACTCATTAAATTATCAGCGAAGTTTGTAACTTTAGTCGATCGTTAATCATAATCAGTTATGAGGTAAATCTACCAGTCATTTGCGAGGGAGCATGATTTCATTCACGCAATGATATAAAGAGCGTCGATGAATTGTACATAGAAAATTTTTAAGCGAGGGAAACGTTTAACCGGTCACACCTGTTTATAGACCACCTTTGTCAGGTGATGTTTGCCCAGTTCATCGAGGGCACCAAGTAAACACACCCGGGTCTCCATCATCCAAGTCTAACACTATGAATTCTTTCTACACGACTGGCGCTGTTTTTTTGTTCACGTCAAATTTGCCATCACTATGTCGTAAATATCGGAAATGTCCCACTTTTTATAAACACTTTTTTCAGAGTGCCATTGGAAATTATTAAGTGCATAGGGTATTATTGATGATGATTGTTTCGCGTGAGAACCATATAAGTTCTCGTTATCGTCTCATTTGCATAAAAACAAAGTCCACCTTTAATTCTACGATCACGCAATACGTACGCGTGTGACCTCTAGTACGCGTATTCACCCTATGCACGATTTTAAACACCCTATCACTGTTTACAAACAAGAATCCCATAAGCCATTGCGTTTTTAGCGTATGTTGTTATCGTCGCTTGGGACTCAATTCCCGCGCGTGCGCAGGTGACGACCTTCCCGCTTTAAAATAATTATTATTGAATCTTGGCCCGACGTGAAATTACTCCTCAAAGCCAATGATTTCAAAAAAAATATTCCTTAAAGAAAGTTATCATTGTCAGGACTGGGCCAACGTAATTGAACGTTAGAACACCAATGTGCCGACCCCAGAAGTTTGAAAGTCACGTGATCGGCACCGAAACCCCGGCTGATCTGCACTGGCTCGGAAGATGAATTCTGATTGGCTAAAAAAACAAAAAAACTTGTGGCGTTGAATGCACGTTCATTGTCAGTATTGTTATGCAAATTCAAACTAGCTAATCATTTACAACCTTCCGAGCCAGTGCAGATTAGCCCCGAAACCGCGATACATACTGAGGAGTGACTCATAGTCTGATGATAATTGATGATTGGCGAAGGTAGCGGGCAATAATTGTACGGTGAACGTTCGCATGAATCTGTCGTTATAAACACGACTAGTAACTAGCACAGTGTGACGTGACAGGAAGACACATTTCGTGTTGTTTGGAATTTAAATTTTAATTGCGTGACATGTTGTCAAAATATGTTACCCGTAAATCTGATTTACATGATACTCAAAGAGACATTCACAGTGAGTTGATATTGTTGATTACTATTGTGTTTATCTCGGAAACCGCGGCAACGCGATATTTGGAAGCCAGTCAGTGAACGTAGCAATAACCAGAGAGCGTGCGCATTCCCGTAATATTTCACCAATCGCCAATTACCATATTTTCGTGTATGAATTATTTTATATACGATATGAGCTATTGATTTTTTTCTTCCGGTGAAAACAAATACATGTTTTTGAATAATCTCGGATACGCATTACATACCGCGAGACTATACATTGCGTAATTGGTAATATGTATAGACGTTCTAGATGGGTCTTGCCAAAAACTGAAATTTGAAATTCTAGAGGTTTACGGTAACCTAATAGCAAGGAAACACTTCAATGAATAAACAAGTGTTGACATGACCTCGTTAAACATTAGATAGTTGTTCATACGCGAGCTTGTTTGATAGTTGTAGTTAACTACACCCGGGTTTATTGGTTAGTTATTTGTTAACTCGCGAGCTGACTATTTATATAACACGCTAGTTAATTGGTTAATAGTTTGTACCATGGGACCTGATTCTTGGATATTTTTATAATATGCGAGTTGATTGGTTAATTGTTTGGTAACACGCAAGCTGATTGGTTAAGCGTTTGATTATAGCCTTTGCAGATATTAATTACAGTCGATTAGGCGCCCCTTCATGTGTATTGACCTTAGCACAAACACCTCGCGATAGTATTGTTACGCATCCTAATGACCGTTTCCCATCAAACACCACTCTGCGTAGTATCTTTTGTTCACGGTTTCTTTGCCGAAGCCAGCAAGTCGATATCACGTCAGACACGCGTGTACACAATACTTCAAAAGCCTCTGTCCGCTCGCGTTTTGGAGTTCGATTGCATTTATTGTTAGAACTTTGGACGGAAAATTGAAACATTATATACTGCAAATAACCATTATAGTGTGTTTTTTTGTTTTTCCATTATATATGGTATCTTCACTTGAGGCAATTGACTTATCATATTGCAGGGTCTCGAAAATTGCGCTGATGCGCACGCGAGTGATATCGCTGCATTGTTCTTGATGAAAATGAAAATGATAAATTACTTTATTTGTGCGACTGCTTTGCAACTTTTATGAGTATACTCTTGGATATATCTCATGACTTTTGAAAGCGTCGCTATTTTGAAAAAACGCTGAAATTTGGAGCGCGTCATAATTCAGCAAGAGACAACTGACGTACAATAATAAAATCAGAATAATTAGCTGTAGAAACGAGTATTTTGAAAATCTTGCTCAGAAATTTGAGTAGGGAAACATAATTTGAACTGTAGAACCTGCTCTCTAAGGTTTCTAATAGGGTTGCTCTTGTTAGTTTTAATATCGCAATTACCTTGTTTATCTGGTATTTTCTGGCTCTACAATTATCATGTTTGTTCGTATTTGTTCGTTATTATTCGGAATGTAACATATGACAGGATACAACGTTACACGCACTCCCCACCACTTGCCTGGGCGATGCGTGATACCCGCCCCCTGCCGCTCCCGAATGAGCCATTACTAGTCGATGTCTCAGTGATTAATGACAACATTACAGATCGATCGCTTTATAATGAATTATATTGGTCTCATGACTTATAGACGACTTTATTGTTACAATAAATTTACGCACGAGACTTCAACAGACGAACAACAAGGAGTCATTGAGTTAATAGTATTTGTCGAGCATTTATAAATTTCTCGTTTCGTAATTATGATAAATCGCTCTTCAAATGTCCTCGATTAACTTTTGTATTGGTCGGGAGTTCGATCCACGTACGGATATGCTAGTCAAGTGTTTGGCTTGCTTGTACAAAAGATGAAGAGAAACGCGATCTACAGAGACCGTATTTGTGTCGGCCCATGAACGTGCATAGCGTAATTCGGTACACAGCTTTATATTGATAATGCAGATAAGATGGCTCTATTTGGCACGAATGTCGGCCACATTGCGTCAAATATTTGTTATTACTTATAATAATCAAATTCGAGAAAAAACAAGCACGTTTACGCACAAATTTCAGCATGCCGCATGATGTTACACATGTTCGTGCATTTACCTCGTGAGAGCCAACATGTGTTGTGGGAAGAGACCACGTGACAAGGAAAGAGTAGCTGATGTGTGCTTTACGCATGGACCCTTTTGACCCCAAAGATCGATCAATATAGACACAGCCAGGGAAATACGAAGCCCGTTCTGCGCAACGTCGGACGGTGGACATTATTATCTGCTCTGCACACAACACTATGGGAGCCGAGCAGATACAGATCAATGTCGCAGACAAAGTCACAACCTGCAACACGTTGAGGACGATTCTCATGACATCCGGGGTCTTTGTGTAGTCAACATTTACATAAAAAAGGGGATAGCGAAAAGAAGAAGAAAAAAAACACAGAAAAAATGAAACGAGGAAGTGTTGAAACCACTCTTACCCTTCGCATACAATCATCCGAACACTGAGGTAACCATTTAGGGATGACATAAAATGCGTTTACGGTTTATATTGCTCGTCTAAAATACATAGATTCGTCTTTGAGACAAAATCCGGAAAAGCCAGGAGGTATATGATTGAAATGCGTCCCTTGAAACTAATTGAAGCTATAAAATCAAAGTACA